AAAAATTCTCTAGAAGGAATCAATAGCAGAATAACGGAGGCAGAAGAACGGATAACTGACCTGGAAGATAAAACAGTGGAAATAACTACTGCAGAGCAGAATAAAGAAAAAAGGATGAAAAACTTGAGGACAGTCTCAGAGACCTCTGGGACAATATTAAGGGCACCAACATTCGAATTATAGGGGTCCCAGAGGAAGAGAAAAAGAAAGGGACTGAGAAAATATTTGAAGAGATTATAGTTGAAAACTTCCCTACTATGGGTAATGGAATAGTTAATCAAGTCCAGAAAGCACAGAGAGTCCCATACAGGATAAATCCAAGGAGAAACATGCCAACACACATATTAATCAAAGTATCAAAAATTAAGTATAAAGAAAAAATATTAAAAGCAGCAAGGGAAAAACAATAAATAACATACAAGGGAATCCCAATAAGGTCAACAGCTGATCTTTCAGCAGAAACTCTGCAAGCCAGAAGGGACTGGCAGGACAAATTTAAAGCGATGAAAGGGAAAAACCTACACCCAAGATGACTCTACCCAGCAAGGATCTCATTTAGATTTCACGGACAAATTAAAATCTTTACAGACAAGCAAAAGCTAAGAGAATTCAGCACAACCAAAACAGCTTTACAACAAATGCTAAAGGAACTTCTCTAGGCAGGAAACACAAGAGAAGGAAAAGACCTACAAAAACAAACCCAAAACAATAAAGAAAATGGTAATAGGAACATACATATCAATAATTACCTTAAATGTAAATGGACTAAATGCTCCAACCAAAAGACACAGACTGGCTGAATGGATCCAAAAACAAGACGCGTATATATGCTGTCTACAAGAGACCCACTTCAGACCTCTGGACACATACAGACTGAAAGTGAGGGGATGGAAAAAGATATTCCATGCAAATGGAAATCAAAAGAAAGATGGAGTAGCAATTCTTATATCAGACAAAATAGACTTTAAAATAAAGACTATTACAAGAGACAAAGAAGGACACTACATAATGATCAAGGGATCAATCTAAGAAGGAGATATAACAATTGTAAATATTTATGCACCCAACACAGGAGCACCTCAATACATGAGGCAAATACTAACAGCCATACAAGGGGAAATCAACAGTAACACAATCACAGTAGGGGACTTTAACACCCCACTTTCACCAATGGACAGATCATCCAAAATGAAAATAAATAAGGAAACACAAGCTTTAAATGATACATTAAACAAGATGGACTTAATTGACATTTAAAGGAAATTCCAAGCAAAAACAAGAGAATACACTTTCTTTGCAAGTGCGCATGGAACATTCTCCACGATAGATCATATCTTGGGTCACAAGTCAAGCCTTGGTAAATTAAAGAAAATTGAAATCGTATCAAGTATGTTTTCTGACCAAAACACTATGAGACAATATATCAATTACAGGAAAAAAATTTGTAAAAAATATAAACACATGGAGGCTAAACAATACACTACTTAATAACCAAGAGATCACTGAAGAAATCAAAGAGGAAATAAAAAACTACCTAGAAACTACTGACAGTGAAAACACAATGACCCAAAACCTAGCGGATGCGGCAAAAGCTGTTCTAAGAGGGAAGTTTATAGGAATAAAATCCTACCTTAAGAAACAAGACACATCTCAAATAAACAACCTAACCTTGCACCTAAAGCAATTAGAGAAAGAAGAACAAAAAAACCCCAAAGTTAGGAGAAGGAAAGAAATCATAAAGAACAAATCAGAAATAAATGAAAAAGAAATAAAGGAAACGATAGCAAAGATCAATAAAACTGAAAGCTGGTTCTTTGAGAAGATAAACAAAATAGATAAACCATTAGCCAGACTCATCAAGAAAAAAAGGGAGAAGACTCAAATCAATAGAATTAGAAATGAAAAAGGGAAGTAACAACTGACACTGCAGATGTACAAAGGATCATGAGAGATTACTACAAGCAACTCTATGCCAATAAAATGGACAACCTGGAAGAAATGGACAAATTCTTCAAAATGCACAACCTTCCGAGACTGAACCAGGAGGAAACAGAAAGTATGAACAGACCAATCACAAGCACTGAAATTGAAACTGTAATTAACAATCTTCCAACAAACAAAAGCCCAGGACCAGATGGCTTCACAGGCGAATTCTATCAAACATTTAGAGAAGAGCTAACACATATCCTTCTCAAACTCTTCCAAAATACAGCAGAGGGAGGAACACTCCGAAACTCATTCTACGAGGCCACCATCACCCTGATACCAAAACCAGACAAAGATGTCACAAAGAAAGAAAACAACATGCCAGTATCACTGATGAACATAGATGCAAAAATCCTCAACAAAATACTAGCAAACAGAATCCAACAGCACATTAAAAGGATCATACACCATGATCAAGTGGGGTTTACCCCAGGAATGCAAGGAATCTTCAATATATGCAAATCAGTCAATGTGATACACCATTTTAACAAATTGAAGGAGAAAAACCATATGATCATCTCAACAGATGCAGAGAAAGCTTTTGACAAAATTCAACACACATTCAGGATAAAAACCCTCCAGAAAGTAGGCATGGAGGGAACTTACCTCAACATAATAAAGGCCATATATGACACACCCACAGCCAACATCGTCCTCAATGGTGAAAATCTGAAATCATTTCCACTAAGATCAGGAACAAGACAAGGCTTCCCATTCTCACCACTAGTATTCAACATAGTTTTGGAAGTTTTAACCACAGCAATCAGAGAAGAAAAAGAAATAAAAGGAATCCAAATCAGAGAGAAGTAAAGCTGTCACTGTTTGCAGATGACATGACAGTAAACATAGAGAATCCTAAAGATGGTACCAGAAATCTACTAGAGCTAATCAATGAATTTGGTAATGTTGCAGGATACAAAATTATTGCACAGAAATCTCTTGCATTCCTATATGCTAATAATGAAAAATCTGAAAGTGAAATTAAGAAAACAGTCGCATTTAGCATTGCAACAGAAAGAATAAAATACCTAGGAATAAACCTACCTAAAGAGACAAAAGACCTGTGTTCAGAAAATTATAAGATACTGATGAAAGAAATTAAAGATGATACAAATACGAGGAGAGATATACCATGTTCTTGGATTGGAAGAATTAACATCACAAAAATGATTATACTACCGAAAGCAATCTACAGATTCAATGCAATCCCTATCAAACTACCACTGGCATTTTTCACAGAACTAGAACAAAAAATTGCACAATTTGTATGGAAACACAAGAGACCCTGAAAAGCCAAAGCAATCTTGAGAAAGAAAAATGGAGCTGGAGGAATCAGGCTCCCAGACTTCAGCCTATACTACAAAGCTACAGTAATCAAGACAGTATGGTACTGGCACAGAAACAGAAATATAGATCAGTGGAACAGGATAGAAAGCACAGAGATAAACCCATGCACATATGGTCACCTTATCTTTGATAAAGGAGGCAAGAATATACAATGTAGAAAAGACAGCTTCTTCAATAAGTGGTGCTGGGAAAACGGGACAGCTACATGTAAAACACTGAAATTAGAACACTCCCTAACACCAAACACAAAAATAAACTCAAAATGGATTAAAGACCTAAATGTAAGGCCAGACCCTATCAAACTCTTAGAGGAAAACATAGGCAGAACACTCTATGACATAAATCACACCAGGATCCTTTTTGACCCACCTCCCAGAGAAATGGAAATAAAAACAAAAATAAACAAATAGGACCTAATGAAACTTAAAAGCTTTTGCACAGCAAAGGAAACCATAAACAAGATGAAACGACAACCCTCAGAATGGGAGAAAATATTTGCAAATGAAGCAACTGGCAAAGGATTCATCTCCAAATTTTACAAGCAGCTCATGCAGCTCAATATCAAAAAAACAAACAATCCAATCCAAAAATGGGCAGAAGACCTAAATAGACATTTCTTCAAGGAAGATATACAGATTACCAACAAACACATGAATGAATGCTCAACATCATTAATCATTAGAGAAATGCAAATCAAAACTACAATGAGGTATCATCTCACACTGGTCAGAATGGCCATCATCAAAAAATCTAGAAACAATAAATGCTGGAGAGGGTGTGGAGAAAAGGGAACCCTCTTGCACTGTTGGTGTGAATGTAAATTGATACAGCCACTATGGAGAACAGTATGGAGGTTCCTTAAAAAACTCAAAATAGAACTAAACTACCATACGACCCAGCAATCCCACTACTGGGCATATACCCTGATAAAACCATAATTCAAAAAGAGTCATGTACCAAAATGTTCATTGCAGCTCTATTTACAATAGCCAGGACATGGAAGCAACCTAAGTGTCCATCATCAGATGAATGGATAAAGAAGATGTGGCACATATATACAATGGAATATTACTCAGCCATAAAAAGAAACGAAATTGAGTTATTTGTAGTGATGTGGATGGCTCTAGAGTCTGTCATACGAGTGAAGTAAGTCAGAAAGAGAAAAACAAATACCATATGCTAACACATATATATGGAATCTGAAAAAAAAAATAAAGGTCATGAAGATAAGGGCAAGACGGGAATAAAGATGCAGACCTACTAGCGAATGGACCTGAGGACACAGGGAGGGGGAAGGGTAAGCTGGGGCAAAGTGAGAGCATGGTAATGTATATATGTCCATATATACTACCAAATGTAAAATAGATAGCTAGTGGGAAGCAGTCGCATAGCACAGGGAGATCACCTCGGTGCTTTGTGACCGCCTGGAGGGGTGGGATAGGGAGGGTGGGAGGGAGGGAGATGCAAGAGGGAAGAGATATGGGGATATATGTATAACTGATTCATTTTGTTATAAAGCAGAAACTAACACACCATTGTAAAGCAATTTTACTCCAATAAAAACGTTAAAAATAAATAAATAAATAAAACTATGTCTTCTATGCATACTTGAAGAGCAAACACAAGTAAGTTTTGGTACTATTGGGGCTAATTCCTCCATAACTTACCTCATACTTTGTAGTCTGTGCAGTGCTGAGAAACTCCAAACTGAGAAGTACATGGGTATTCATAACCCAGATCTGCTGTGGGCTCTAAGAGGATGTCTTCCAACCTGAAAGATGTAGAGAGATATTTCCATTAAGTCTTTTTTTGTTTTTCTGGCCACGCTATGTGGCATGCAGGATCTTAGTTCCCCAACCAGGGATTGAACCCGTGCCCCCTGCAGTGGAAGCTAGGAGTCTTAACCACTGGACAGACAGGAAAGTTTCTCCATTAAGTCTTTATTTCTAAAGTAGAAACATATAAGAAACAGGAAAATTGAGTTTCAGTGACTATAAAAAGGAGAATTTTGATTATTTTCTTTTAATGAAAAACTAATATGTTTCTCATTTCTTGTCTTTTTAGGAAACTTTTTAAATGAATTAGTTAAACGCACTCAAGTATTCAAACATTGTAGTGACTTCAGGCCAAAGCTGTGATGAAAAGAATCATGACTTCAGTTAAATTACTGAACTAAGGAGCACGAAGCCAAGTGCTCACAAGGGTCCTGCCTGCCTTCTCCTTGCATAGGGGAAGGGCAGGAAGTGGTAGTGTATTTGCAAAAGAGAAAATGAAAACGCTTTTGGAAATGCAGAAAACATGCAAGCCCTAATTAGAAAAGGACTGCATGTTGACAGGTAGGATGACTGACGCTCCAGGTTTGCCCAGGACTGAAAGATTTCCTGAGATGTAGGACGTTCTGTGCTAAAAGCAGATAGTCTCAGGCAAACTGAGGTGACCGGTCACACTATGATGGATTTCAGGGATCATGTTTGGAGGGTGGGGATGTGACAGTGTGGGAGCAGCAGGGCTGGTAGATACTGAAAAAAATACAGGCCTTGGTTTGAGTATCATTGGGTGGGAATTTATTTTTTCATGGTTTTCTTGAGTATAGCGTTTTGGGTTTTTTATTGAGGTATAATTAACATACCATAAAACTCACTATTTAAAGCACACAATTGAGTGGGTTTTAGTAACTCACAGATTATGCAACCATCACAATTCTGGAACTTTTTCAGCACCCCCCCCAAATAAACTCTGTGTCCATTATCAGTCACCTCCCATTCCCCACTCCCCTCATCCCCTAGCACTTTAAAAGAAGGTGATTAGAAGTTTCTCGTTTAGGAGGAAAGGGTGAGTAATAAGACATATACAGAACCCTGAATATATTGGGGATTAAGTTACCTTTTAGTGTATCTGATACAGCCACAGAGTGAAAAGGGAAAAATCAACCCAAATCCTTTAAGGAGCAATTTCTTTACCCTCAGATTCCCAAAACCCACTGCTGGTCAGGAAGTAACCTGATGGGAACACTGATGTTATGTAAAGCTTGAGAAAAGTAAACTTGTGGTTATGTAATCAATTTTATTAGCTCTCCTTTAGAAGATCTCAATATTTTCCAAGCAGATGATTAGGTTGGGCACAGTCTTATTTTATGTGGCCTCTTTTATAATTAATTAATTAAGGAGTATGCATTTTATTCACCTTTTTCATCAGAAGTGATTGCTCATCATTTAAAAATAATAAATGGGAATATTTTACTCTAAAGAAAAGTTATCAGGAAATTTTTTAATTAGTTGTCTTTTCCCCCACATCAATGTCTGATATCTATTTATTCATGGCTTGGAGAAGCAGAAGTTTAAATTTGAATCTGCCTTAACCAAATTTTGCTAAATATTACCAAACCCTTGCCACTGGCCATATTTGCTTGCTGTTCCACAGTGATAGATGGAAAGTTCCTAACCATCTGGACTCTGGTAGTCATACAGAAACATAAACAGTAGAAATGTATCAAGGAACATATTGGACAGTTTAACTGCTTATCATCAACTGTTGGCTTAAAAAAAAAGATGCTATGGTCCAGACCTTAACTTGGGAGTTTGTTACCTTGATCACAAGATGGTACCGTCAGCCACCACTGGCAGAAACTTCAGTTGTTAATTACAGCCAGTAGGAATACATTTTCACTGAGCCATTCTCATGCTAGATCCTGCTTGTGACTCACAACACATATGTGAAAGATATCTGACCCGTGTTGGTTGGAAGAGCTAAGGCGTTTAGACTATACGTGTGTCGAATATGTGATCTCATCCACATTAGCACCAGGTTCTAAAGAAATGAGCTAACCAGGTACAGACTAAACTGGCAAGAAACAAAAGGTGTGCCTTGGTTTGGGAGAGGAGTTTTCACCCAGGGATTCACAAACCTCTCAATGATTTTGGTCTACTGACAGGCTTTAGAAGATCTGTGAACATCCTAAAGTAGTATCTAAAACATCGTACTTTTTTTAAAGAAAGGAGCCATAGACTCTTATCAGATTCTCAAAATGCTCCACTACCCAAAATAGATTAAAAAGTGATTACTCTTGAAGAGTATAATTAACATAGTTGATTCTATTTTCTACTATATGATCTGACTCCATAAATAAGGCTTTACATTTTGCCTGCTCAGAATTATGTCCCAAGTCTGATTCAGTGACAAGTAAATTTCTGTGTTTATATATTTATATATGAGTATATACTTCCCTCTTATGGTATACACACTGTATCAGCCAGAATTTGGTCAGAGAAGCAGACAACCTGTGAGTGATCTGGAATAAGGGATTTACTATGGGGATTAGATTTTTATGCAATTGTGGAAACAGAGGGAGAAGTCTAAGGAAAGCTATTGCTTTTGTGTCTGGTGTGGAGCCTGAAGTTGCCAAGCTGGCAGATATGAAGAAAAGCATAACAGAGCTATAATCAACTAGAAGCCACATCTCTCTCAAGTTGCCTTCACCCTTGACAACGCAGGTTACTTGCAGGTGAAGCTGGGATCCCTCACCACATAACTGTTCAAAAATTACATAGAAGTTGAAGAAAGAAATTAATCAGGAGATCCGGCACTTTGGACAACATGCAGGAGAAGATGTTGTGGGAGCTGGAGGACTTGGAAGCACCGACGTGACGGCTCCAAACCAAAAAAGTGAGCCAATGGATCAACAACAATCATACAACCTACGGCAGCTCCTGGCACCCTACACTGATGTTTAGAATGTAGGACTAACTGCTGTTTCAAGTCTACCCTCCAAACACATGAATTCTGTGTGTGTGTGGACAATCCTAATCCAATGAGAAAGAAAGTCTAGAAAAGTTCATTCCAACTTGGTTTTGTTGACCCAACCCAATGCCAACAGATACACAGTACTTGACTGAATACAAACATGGGGAAAAATGCTTTTACTCGTCAATGCCATAAAATGAAGGTGATAGTCTGTTCCTGATCTATTCTGTTCAGTTATTGTAACCCATGAGTTGCTCACATTGGTGGATGTATTTATTTGAACTTTTAAAAACTGGAACCAATGTTCCATGAAGCAAAGGCCACTGTGGAACCCTCCAATCACAGCATATAAATATGGAAGAATGAGACAGAAGTAGTATCTAAGATTAATAAGTGATTAATATCTATGACAAACAAAGCTATCCAGGATATCAACAAAGGAGAATATTAAACATACTAGAAAAATGGATAGAGAATGTTACATGGCAATCCACAGAAAGAAAAAGCATAATGGTTAATATCTGAGTTTGAAGGAATACTCAAATACATTGATAATCAGAGAAATGTAAATTTAAACAGTAAGATACAGGACTTCCCTGGTGGCACAGTGCAGGGGACACGGGTTCAAGCCCTGTTCTGGGAAGATCCCACGTGACACGGAGCAACTAAGCCCGGGCGCTGCAGCTACTGAGCCTGCGCTCTAGAGCCCGCGAGCCACAACTACTGAGCCCGTGTGCCATAACTACTGAGCCCGCATGTTTAGAGCCTGTGCTCCACAACAAGAGAAGCCACCGCAATGAGAAGCACGCGCACTGCAACAAAGAGTAGTCCCCACTCGCTGCAACTAGAGAAAGCACACAGGCAGCAACAAAGACCCAACACAGCCCAAAATAAAATAACTTAATTAATTATTTTTAAAAAGTAAGATACTACCTTTACCTCAGGGATTAGTGAATACTGGAATGCCATATGTTGGTGAGGACATCAAGCAGGAGCACTCATGCACTACTGGTAGAGGGTAGACAGGGACAGACATACTGCAAAGCTCCCTAGTGCTTACTTGAGTCAAGATTGATGACCCAGCAATGTTATTCCAGGGTTTATGTTAAAAAAGAAATGCTCAGAAAAATCCATGATCACTAGATTATCAAGAGTATTCACTGTTGTGTTTACTCAGGTAGACAGCTGAAGGCAATATATGAGCCCATATCTAGGTAAATAAATAAGAAAAATATAGTGGACATATACTGTAGAATGCTATCCAGCAGTTAGAAGCAAACAAGTAAATGTATTCTCTGTAACATGGATAGGTATTAAAAAGCCAGTGTTAAATGAAAAAAAAAGTAAAAATATAATATTTACACATAAATTATAATCTTATAGGTAAAAACATAGTAAAATGTAATGATAATTTTAAAAAGGACCATAAAAGTCAAAAGTGCAAGTCAAACACATTAGAGTCACAGGCTGTAGGGGGAGGAAAATGGGAGTGAGGAATGAAAATAACGGTGAATCAACCAATAAATAAGGGATGGGCTTTGCACAGAAAGGTAATAACAGTGTGCTGTGAAATAACTTAACTCTCTGTCCTTATAGATTGGAAATAAACATACATTCATAGCAAACAAAATTTGGCATAAATGTTTTTTAGAGTATCTAGGCATATAGAGAACTTTATCTGCTACAACTATGTCTCCAAGCTCCGGTACGTCTTTTACCACACCACACAACTCATGAAATTTTCTGGTTTCATGGTTACTCAGCCTCAAAGACAAACTGAGTTTTCAGATAACAGAGAGATTCTGGTTAGATTCCAAAACAGGCATGTTGGAAAATAAAGTGTATATTTTCAATTTTAAAAAGAAAAGAAAAAAAAAAAAGAAAAAACAAGTTAGTTAAGTTAGAATTGGTGTAGAAAAATACTAATGGTTTATAATTTTAATTTTAACATCTTGTGGTATGTAATTTTAAAATCATGGCATAAAACTATAGGTAAGAAACCCCTAGCAAAGAGAAAATAGGGTAGACAGC